CTGGGCTTGGTTAGCATTCTAAAAGAGATACTTTTCCAGGGAGTAGGGGAAACATATCCCACAGTGGACCTTGAGGAAGTTTCCATAGTGCATGTTGGAGGGCACAGGGAGGGCACAGGGAGCCCCCCCCCCCGCCATGTCAGGAAGTGCAGTCAAGGGGGAGAAAGAGCACCCCTTGGGAGTTAGGACACCTTAAGCTCTATCTGCCGCAGTTTCTTCAGTTGGAAAGTGGGAATTACAATTCTCTTACTACCACAACTTAAATATTAATAATAAAAGACAGGACTATAAAACAGGCACAGTGTGTGGGGGGGGGTACTTGTGTTGAGGGGGAGGGTTGAATGAATGTGATTAAGGTAAGGGAATATGGTTGGTGGACTTCATAGACTTATGAAATAGAGCAAAGAAACCTCTTGCAATTGCTTTAGGAGGGGTGGAGAGGAGGTTGAGGGGAAGAGAGGATGGGGGTGATCTCACCAGTTACAATAAAAGTCTAATCAGAATTGTCACTATGAATTCCCCCCCATAACAAATATATCCTAATAAAAATTTTTTAAATAAAAAGGGTGAAATTACTGCGGGAAATACTAAATTCTGAAATTTACTTCCTGAAGGAGAGGAACAATACATTAACTCTGTTCCCTTTCTAGGTTACAAACACTTAAAGGCCCTTGAGTCAGTAGAGCAATCTGTTAGTTTGATTTAATTTATACCACAGTTAAAGTAACCAGGTAGTATTAACATTGTTTTGTGGAAATCTGATTTTATTTTGGGGTGGAACTCATTATTTCCCTTTTGGCCCTTTATTCTTTGGTGGTAGAATTCAGCAATTCTAAACTTCATCTAAGTACTTGATTGTCATAGCAATGATAAAGAATTCTAAATCATATCGATTTTTAAAGATAAAATTCTATTATACAGTAATGAGACGACATGTCTTATGGTATCCTGCTAAGAATTTCATAGCATTTGTCAAAATGAATTTGAATAGAAATGGAGAGGAGGAGGTTTGATCTCTGTGTTGCATGAAGGTTGAAAGCGTGCCGGGTGTGAATCTCCCCATTCTACCACTTACCAGCTTTGAGACCTTGACCAAGTTACTTAACCTTCAGTAGGAAATGCAGATGTACCTTATAGGGTTCTTGGTTTTGTTTTGCTTTATTTTATTTTATGGAAACAGTGTCTTGCTGCCGTACCCAAGCTGGCTTTGAACTCACAGTTTCACGTAGTCTTTAGTTCTCATATCTCAGCCTCCCAGGCACGTGGAATTACAGGCCCAGGCCAGCATATCTAGCTATAGGTTTTTTAGAGGATTAATTTGGCAATTAGATCAGTGACAACACAATTAATATGGACAATTTTTTTTTCTTTTAATGAGGCAAGATAGGGTGTCACTCCTTGTAAGATTTAGGAATCTGACTCAGATGTAGAAAAGAATTTGACAGTTTTTTGTTAAGTGTCATGGGGATGTGGACTGTACACAAGGTATTGACTCCACTGATAAGTAATACAGCTTGTATATAACTCGATGAGAGTATGTGCCTAGCATGCACAAGACCTTGGGTTCAATCCCCAGAGGTGGGGACAGCTTGAGGATGAGTCTAACCAGGAAGCCCCAGACAACCCCCAAACTCCCTCTCTCGTCCATCAGCCAGTACCTCCACCCCCCAAAACACTCAGTTCCACAGCCTCACCAGGGCTAAGGACCTTCTAACATTGTACTCTGGACCTTGTCTATTTATAAACAATGAGAGTTGTCATATTGTAATAGTTCAAGTCACCACTGAAGCTTCTTTAGATTTGGTTTGTCTGAAGCACCGTAGCTGAGTAGGGGAACACACATGCTTTACAGACAAGACAATCCTGAGTTTGAATAAGTGAATGGCTCTTCCACTTATTTTGTGGCTTTGAGATAGCCTAATCACTTAAATTCATTGGCATAAAATAAGAATACCTACACATCTAGGGTCCTTAATGCCTGGTATATAGTAAGTACCTCTGTGTAGCAGCTGTTAAAATTTTCTGAAGAACCCTAAAACCTTATTGCAATAAATGTACAGCCCCAAAGGTACAATCTTGATCATTTGATGATTGAGATTCAGTGCCTGTATTTGAGCAGCTCTGTGTAGCTTAGTTTCACTGTGCTAATTCCTGGCCTGACCTTGTATATTCCAGCTAACTGTTGCTGCATAACGAACCACCCAAAGTTTAGTGGCCTAAATAACTATTTCTTTGAGCTTATAGATTCTGTAGATCAACAATTTGAATCAGGCCCAACCACAATGGCTTATCTCTGCTCCATGATGTCTGGAAAGGCATCAAAGATGACTCCAAGGACTAAAATTACATGGAGGTTTCTTAACTCATGCCCAGAATCTGGGCTGGAATGACCTGAAGACAAGCTCATTCAGGGCTGCCAAGCATACACCTACCATGCATGACCTCGCTATGTGTCGTAGACTTACAGCATGGTAGCCGTCAGCTTCCATGAAAGTGTGCATTCCAAGAAAGACAAACAGAAGCTACATGACCTTTTATGACCTAGCATTGGGGAACTTCTATAGTGTTACTTGCTGCATATTTTGTGGGTATGGGTGGAAGCCATCCGAAGTCTACTCAGATTCCAGCAGTGCAGGTAGTGGGGATAGATCACACCTCTCAGTGGAGAGGCAGGTTAAAGCACTGCCACAGATTTTTATAAAATTACCACACTGGGATTGTGGCTCCATCTTGGGATATATTAAGATGCCTGACTCTATAACAAAGCAGGTAGTGTAGGTTCTGTTGCCACTGTATAGTGAAAACAACCATAGCAGTATATAACCACATGACTGTGTTTCAATAAGTTCTTATTTGTGAATACTAACATTTAAATTTCATACAGTTATTAAGTATTATTCTCATTTTAAACACGTTAAAAATGTAAGACTCATTCTTAGCTCATGGTCCTTACAGAAACAGGCAGTGGATCAGATTAGAATTGCTGACATTTTGAAGAGCTGACCTTTTAAAGTTAGGATCCACCAAGTGTGTAGAAGAAACCCATGGGTATTTCCCAAGAAGAGAATGTTTGTTTGTGAAAGGTAGAAATGATTACCAATTTCATGTTCATTTTTTAGGTGAATTTAAGATATTATTTGGATATTCAGTTCTTTCAAATATACCTTCTCTTCATTCTGTTATAAAGCACTTGATAGACCATACTCTTGATACTTCCTAGTAGAAATTAATGATATTTATGTTATCAGAACTCAGAGCCTAAAAAGAAAAGAGTACCTGCTTCTTGTTGGAGTTTCCAGAAGTACAGATTTTTGTATATGTTTAAAATAAATATTCTGAGCTGGGGATGTAGCTTGGTAGAGCACTTGCATCGCATGCAAGGCCCTAGGTTTGATCCCTGGTACCATCAACACCAAAAAAAAAAAAAAAAAAAAAAAATCTGTTTTTTAAAGAGGCTGTTAATCATTAGACCAAAAGATAAGGTTGGCCACTGCCAGGAACAGATAATTGGTTATGGGAAGCTGTCATATGCATTGTAAAATATTTAGGCACATCCCTGACCCTTACCTATCTTCTTGGTAGCAATTTCTACCAAACAAAATTGTGTCTTAACACTGTCAAATGTACCCTGGTGTGTGTGTCAAAATATCACCAGTGGTTTCAATTAAGATGTGAAATTCAACTGGTTATATACATTGCTTCAGTTACCCCAACAAGGAAAACCTATATATTTTTTAAGAGTAAAAACTCTAGCTCAGGGAGTACAATTATTAGCAGGCCTGTTAATTTTCCAAACATACATCTCCTCCTTTGAAAATGTAAAATGAATTTGGACAACCCATTACCAAATTAAACATTGCACTCATTTCTTTATTATGTCTGGACATTTTTCTAAACCTTATAACTGAAGTAATTTTTAGGAAAGCTGAGAACCACAGTTCTTTATTTGAGAATATCACTGGAACAAAATCAAGATTTAAAAATAGGCTTGAAAATACCAAATGGAGATGTTCGGCTTTGACTTCGTGTTCTCAGCCTGCAAGCTATTGGATCGTGTGAGGTGCCTGACCCAAAGGAGGTGATTAGTTCTCCTCTAGTGTGCTGGTAATGAATAGCTCTGCAAAACCAATTAGCTATAATTCTATCAGTCATTTCATTTTGGTAACATTTTGTTTAAGGGGAAGAAAAACAACACTGTTTTCCTTGGAGATCTATAATTAAGCTGTGGTATTCGATGGGAACAATGCAGGAAAAAGCAGTACTCTTAGCAATTTGCTTTCATTATTCCCACATGAAAGTAAATCATGCTGAAGTGTTCTGTTCACAGCAGTTAAGAAAGACATTTATCCATCTTAAAGGTGTAACAAACTACACACAAGTCTATTTCTAACTCTAGATTTGGTTTTATATGGGTGGCTACATTGTGCAAGTCCGGGGAGTTGCCCTTCACATGAAAGACTGCGTGGTGTCCTGTGGGGTTGTGTAGCAGGAGGGACTGAATGTTACTTCTCTCCCTTCATGTATCAACCCCCACCAAAAGAAAATTATGTGAATCCAGACCATAAGTAATAGAAAATATTTCTTTTCTTTTTTTGCTCCAATTACTATTTTACCGTGTAGCTTACAATGCCTACTCCATGCTGACAATAATAATTCCATAGTCTTTGGTTTCTTTTTCCCAGCAAGGCATTTTGTGGATAGGTATCATGGCCCTTGATTTTGGACCCATGAGACAGTTGTGGACCCATGAGACATTTGTAACACATCATCATCTCTGTTATAAGACTGAAGGTTCTATTTTATTGCTATCTATCTGTCCTACTCCAACATCTGAGCATTTTTGAATTTTTTTGTCTCCATTCTCAAAGTGAAGACAATTTGGGTCTTTTATTTTAAGTTTAGTATATACAGCTTATAATACAAATTACTTAGTTATTAGAAAAAGTACAATGGGTTATTGTTTTGGACTTTTCATTTATTTTTCTTACTGTCATCCACAGCTAGCCAAAAAAATCCGTGAGAAGTTCAACCGATACTTGGATGTGGTCACTCGGAACAAGCAAGTTGTAGAAGCATCCTACACGGCTCACCTAACCTCCCCGTTAACTGCAATCCAGGACTGCTGCACTATTCCACCTTCCATGATGGAGTAAGGCTTCAGCATTCTTTGTTGGTGATGATGATCTCAGGAACTGAGTTGCTTGTACTTCCATATTTAAAATACCTGTGTTTGTCTATTGCAATGTGTATATTTTTTCGCTATTATTTAGGATAAGCCCTTTATATTTACATAGTTAAGTAATTTTTAAAGAAGTATGACTCAATGTTCTATAGCCGGAAGACCTCCCTACTCCCCTTCTGGTCAGGTTCAGGTTCAACCTGAGTACAGAGTCTGGTAAATCTAAAAAATTGCAAATGTTTTGTTCTGAGTTGACTATCAAGCCATGAATAAGACTGTCTCATGGATTTGGTAATTTGATTAATTTTATCTTTGAAAGAGTAACCAGAAAATTCTACTTCTTAATTAAGATTAGACAGTCTTTCAATTGTCTAAGGGAAATGTGGTTTCAGATAATATTAAAGCAGGTTTAATATTTGCACAGTGAGAAAATTTTTATTAGTCTAGTTATAATTCTATCTGGAGGGATGTAGGGTCATATGATGTTAGAAATTACGAGAAAGCACTTACCTGGAAATACAAAGAACTCAATTTGAAGTTTGACTCGGCTTCTATTTAGCCATGCATCCGTAATCTGGTTATTTAGTGGGTGTTTATACTCACTTTTCTGTCAGTCAGTGTGGACAGTAATCTTCATATTATCAATTTTCCAGAGCTATTTAGAATAAGTAAAAGAGGTTAAAAGTAAAATGTTACTTAGTATACACTTTCCACTTTCAACACTATAAATGCCCTTGAGACTGAACAAGGAAGGATGAATCCACTGTAGTGTTTTGGTAGTTGAATGATGCAAGTTGTTACTTGTAATGGATTTTTGGTGGGGTTTGTAGATAGCAGGCCATCCTCAAGTCACTAGATTTCTTCTCCATTTATGGAATGTTAAACGTGAACTTTTCTTTGGCTTACCCTGACTGCAGCTTGAATAATCTCATAGTAATTGTCCTCTAATATGGAAGGGAAAACATTTTCAATTTGGAATGAGACTGTCTGGCTGTGAGTCCTACCTCCATTACATGTACCCCTGTGATCTTGAATATTTGATGACTTTGAGCTACCCTGTTTTTATTTCTGGAGTGAGAACAGTAATTGTTGCTTCACCAGGTATTGTGAGCATTCAATGAAATGAAATGTAAAAATACTTTATAAACTATAATGCTCTAAAACAAATAGTAGCCATAATTTCTATATGCATCCATATTAGAGTGAACATTTTGTTTTTTGTTTTTAAGTTTGCACTATTGGAGACCATTCTTTCCTATAATTGGAAACCAGTACCAATGCATTTGACTAGCTTATCATTCTAACTTACGAAGACAGAGCATCTTCACAAATTCCCAAGTAGGAATAGTGTGAATGGGGGTGGAGGGGAGTAGAATTGAACTGGCTGGCTTCTACTTGTGAAGTCTACCTTATTACTTGCCTACCTAGTGAATTTCTGTTAATGTTTCAAGTAACTCAACCATTGCCCAAATGCCATAGTTGCCTATTTAACTCTTCTTTCCCTCTCCCTATTTCATTTTGCCCCTGGAAGAATTTATTGCTCTCTCCTATTTGTTCCCATAGTAATTTCATACACCTCCATGCAGTGTATCACACCTTAGTGTATCACACCTGCCTCCCCTGCTGTTCTGGGCTGAAATTACACCTCTTCCAATTTTACCAAGAGTACCTGGTAATCAGGTTTAATTACTATGTGTGAGAATATGAATTAACTTGAACACAGGGATGAATAAAAGGGTGTCTACACTCAAGAAATGTACAATATATGGGGAAAGGGTTAGCAAAATGTTACACAGCAGGTAGGCGTTCTACCTCTTGAGCCATGCCTCCAGTTAAGAATTCCCAGTCAAGTGAAGCAGCTGAAGGACATGTTTAAGAACAAAATTTTTTTAAAATGCTAGGCAGATTGATTTTGACTAACAGCTTGACCTTGCAAAGTCACTTAAATTGTGGGCTTCAGTTTCCCCACCAGTGAGATAAGAATCACGAGAGTACCAGCTCATTGAATTATTGTAGGGGAAATGCTTTAACTTCTACTTACATAAACTTTTCATTGGATTATTGTACATTATTTCAGTATTGTCTGTGTCAAGAGATACCATTTCTTCTCTTACAGCAATAACAAACTTTCCTTTTTAAAAAAACAGCTAAGTAAAAAGTTGAATTATTATGAAGATATTAAGTAAATAATAAGGCCAAAATTCAAAGATGATAGATGTGGAAGAGACAGAAGTTTATGAAAAATGGGCTCAAAGGGCTGGTGGTGTAGCTCATTAGTGAGCACTTGCCTTGCAAGTGGCTCTAGGTCTATCCCCAGCACTACAGGGAGGGAAAGAGCGAGTGAAGAGTAAGGAGGGAAGGAAAGAGATATTGACTCAATTATTACAAAAGTCTTTCCAGACTATGAGATACGATAACTCAGGAAGCAAGCTTCTTAAAACTTTTTATGTCCATAGGTTGAATCTGGCTATATGCACACATATTAATATTGCTTTTATAATAAATGTAAATAATTGGACCTCAGATAAAAGATCTCCACTCTTGATTCTGGATCTTGGCCATTTTTAAGTCATCTGGGACCTATGAACGTTTTTTTTTACTTTTAAATTCAAATCTGGCTCAAAGCTACAGAAGCTGTTTATTAAGTGCCTGTGGCCTATTGACCTTCCTTCTTCTCCAAATGTATTAAAGATGAATTAGAACTAGGATACTGTTTCTATACACAAGTGTAACCAATGACTCTTTTTACTGCTTGACTCAGGCCAAGTCTTTCATTTCTCCTGATTTACATCCACATTTGATTTTCGTCACCAAGGACTCATACTGCATAGTTAGTTTGTTAGTTAGTTTTAGTGGGACTGGGGTTTGAACTCAGGTCTTCACTCTTGCAAAGCAGGCACTCGACTGCTTGAAACACACCTCCAGTCCATTTTGCTCTGGTTATTTTGGAGATGGGGTCTTGTGAAATATTTGCCTGGGACTGGCCTCAAACCACAGTCCTCCCAAGTAGCTAGGATTACAGGCACAAGCCACCATGCCCAGCTGCTTATTTATTTTATTTTTAATATATTTTAGTTGTACAAAGGGGTTTCATTGTGATATTTCTGTATATGCATATACTTTGATCAAATTCACTCCCTCTGTCACTCTTTCTTAAACCCCCTTTTACACAATTTTAATGGGTCTCATTTTATTTGCATACATGCATATGAAGTATTTTTATCATATTTACTCCCAGCAGTGCACATTTTAAAAAATAAAGTCTCCAGGTCTGAATAGAAAGGTGCTTTAAATAGTTCTATTGTAAGCCAGGTGTGGTGGTACACACCTGTAATCTCAGTACTCGGGAGACTGAGGCAGGAGGATTGTGAATTGGAGGCCAGCCTGAACCACATAGTAAGACCCTGTCTCCTAAAAAAGAGTTCCATAATGTAGAGCATACTGTGCAGTACACCCTGTAGGTGATACTGTAACAATAACCAAGAGAACCTGTGGCAGAAAATTGATTTTTCAAATGGATTTGATCCTTTCCTCCTTAGACCAGCCAACTCTTAAAACTCTCACTCACGAGCCTTCGAAGTTAATGATTTTATACAGGGCCCTGAATAGCTATTTGGTACCCTTTCAATGTTTACTGAAGGAACAAAATGAAGAATTAACATTCTCTAATATGGAAAAACAAATAGGTTAAGGCTTAATCTAACACAAGCTTATTCTCAGTGGCATAACTTAAAATAGCATAGCTGTGAGCATAGGCTGGCTTTTCTCATTAGCAACTCTGCTTGTATTGTGTTGAGCTCAGTGCCAAGGGAGCGGGAGACCCTGATTCCTTCCAAGGGGTACACAAACATATAATTACACCAAAGGACCATGCCTAGCCTGCAGGTGGGGTTTTTGGTTTTTGTTTTTGTTCTTTTGGCCCCACAGATATTTAAGTTTTTCATATTTGTAAATTTTGAAATCTGTTGCCAACATTCCAACTTTGGGAGATGATACACTTTAAAAATTCAAATGTTAGGGCTGGACACGTTGACTCACAACTGTAATCTCAGCTGCTCAAGAGGCAGAGATTGGAGAGTCATGGTCAGAAGCCAATCCATCAAAAGCCAGACACTGTCTCAAAAAACAAGCCAGGCATGTTATTCATGCCTGTAATCCCAGCTACCTGGGAAGTGGAGGTAAGAGGACTGTGGTCTGAGGCTGGCCTGGGAAAAGTTAGTGGTAGTTCCTATCTGAAAAACAATCTGAAAAGGCCAAAGGGCTGGAGGTGTGGCTTAAGTAGTCAAGTGCTTCCCTTGCAAGCTTGAGGCCTCGAATTCAAATATAAAATAAAGAAAAAACTGGGTTTGGTAGTTCATGCCTATGGTCCCAGCTACTGTAGAGGCAGAGGAAGGAGGATCTCCATCCAAGGCCCACTTGGGCAAAAAACATAAGACCTTATCTGAAAAACCAGCAAAAAGCCTTGGGGTATGACTAAAGCAGCAACAGCCTTTCTAGCAAGGGTGAGACCCTGAGTACTCATTTCTCAGTACTGCCCCCACACCCCAAAAAATTCACATTTCACTGTTTTCTTGAAGGATCAGAATATTTGACAACTAGGGTTCACATTTCCCCTTTCATAAAGAACAGCTATGTTGGGTGCCAGTGACTCACACTCATAATCCTAGCTACTGAGGATGCAGAGATCAGGAGGATTGCAGTTTGAAGCCAGTGGGCAAATAATTCTCAAAAATACTCAACACAAAACAAGGGGTGGTAGAGCACCTGCCTAGCAAGCGTGAGGCCCTGAGTTCAAACCCCAGTGCAGCCAAAAATCAGACCAGCCGTTCACCACATTTCCACTCCCCCCAACCCATTTCCCTGCCACTTAATACTTGCTTGGCCTGTGATAGAATGTAAGTTTTCAACTCATGGTTTTAAAAGACGTAATGGATTTGACCTAGGAAAACGTCTTGTCCATTTGCTGTGCC